TAGCGCAGATAGCCCTCGTGTAGCTTTGCGCGAAATTCAAAAAACAAACAAACAAACTTAATTCCAAATCTTGGTAGGATAAACATTTAGTAAAGGTTTAGTCTGCCAATCAAACCAATCCTTCTTTTTCTTGTTGAACAATGTAGTTTAATGAAAATGATGTTGTTTTAGTTAAACTTGAAGATCAAACATCAAGGCACCAAAATACATATATATATATAATTTTCTGTTTTGTTCTGTTTCTGAATAAATGCAGCTGTAAGGTATTTTGTTATTTGCTGTATCAAATCAATATATTTTATACACATCAAAGATATAAAGTTTAGAAATTACAAGCGTGGAAGTTGACTTTATGACACACAATTTTTTTTCATATCAATTGTGACTGAAAGATACTAAGAATTACAGATACTGAGTGAAGTAATTTTATTAGATTTCTAATAATATTTGAAAATGTTACTCTCATCTTTGAAAGCATCTTGACATTTCAAAGTCAACCTTTTAAGTGATTTTGGACTGTACTTGGATTTCTTGTGATTTAACATATTTTAAGATTTCATGTATCAATTCAGACCAGATGACTTGTACATCACAAGAATTTACTTGCCAAAATAAGAAGTGTATTACTCAACGGTGGATCTGTGACCAAGATGATGACTGTGGAGATGGCAGCGATGAACTGAACTGTTGTAAGTCTTAGATTATTAAACCAGATACTATGTAGATGGAAAAATGTATATCAAAGTCTTCAAGCATGCAATAAAAGTGGCTAATTATAGTAAGCAAATGTTTTTAATACAAATGAATATTATTACAGTAATAATTATATGATTATGTACTTAGTAAGTATGCATATATTCAATACATTTAACTGTAGAATGCTTTTATGAACCTGATATTATTTTGTTTTATATCTTTGGTAATGTGGTTTTATTACAGTGAAATTGTAAAGCTAAATATCCACTATGTATGAAATCAGCAATAATAAAATGCACCAAATTCTAGCTTCTTGTTCATTAGTTTGTTACAGGATTTTTTTTTTTTTGCAGCAAATGTAACCTGCTCTTCAACAGAGTTTATGTGTGATAGTATGAAGTGTATACCAAATAAATGGCACTGTGATGGTGAGGAAGATTGTGCAAATAATTCTGATGAGAAGAACTGCTCTTCTGAAGGCTTTCAATCACCTTGTAACTCTAGACAATTCATGTGTGCTAACCAAAAGGATTGTATCCTTATTTCCTGGCACTGTGATGGTGGTATTGACTGTCCTGATAAATCAGATGAGACAAATTGTAAGTTTGGAATTTCAACTGGTATAATAGTAATATGAAGTTAGAGGACTGAATTTATAGAAATGAAATTGCTGCATGTCTAAAATCAAAGGAATGTGTATTAATGACATATTGTTTGGTTTTATGACGAAGTGTCACAAATGTGATGTAGAATTGAATAAGCTGAGTTATATATATATATAATTTCATTTAACTTCGAATCCTTTTCTGTTGCCACAGAAAAGTGTTTCTAACCAAAAATTTGAAGTTATATTCCCAAACAGATCTTTATCCAGTACTATTATTATAATTAGATATGTAATTGATATAGTTTCGGCCAGATGCCAAATACCTAGCTTTATTTGAATAACGATATATTTCACTATCAAATAGTTGATATATATACTTGAACACAGTTTTATTAGTTTCATGGAACACTATATACTACTTATAGGACATATAAGTAAACATAAAAGAATATGTGAAATTTTTGAAAAGGTAAACAAATTACAGGCTGAGTAAAGATACAATAGCAATACTTTAACAAAGGTGAATACTCATATTATAGTTGGTTCTATCTAGTGTCTACAACTGCCTATAATATTTTTCTATAGGGAATTATCTGAAAATCATAGCTTCTTTGAGTCTCAACCTGTAATATGCATTGAAATAAATATTTAAGCTATAACATGCTAGCAGATGTTTCCTGAATAATAGTCAATAAATAAGTCGTGTACAGACTTGTAATTTGCAGTGCACACACACTGATCTTTGAAACTTTGACTTTTAATAGTTGGTGATTACTATTAGTATGGTGACAAGTGACTCAGTTATAACCTCAATATTACCTAATTGTTATAAGTAATTTAAAATGAAAAAGACTCTTGTTAGGGATTACTCTGAAGTAGTTGGTGCTTCTAAAGTGGGGTGCTAATAGTAAAAAATAAAAAGGGCCTGATTAGCTTACCAGTTTGCCAGTTCTTCTTAATGATGAGTAAAATCATTCAAGTAAAATAGATTAATGATGTTAGCAATAAAGAATTTAGTGTTAAATAAATAATGTGTTAATACTCTGTATACTAACACATTATTTATAACAAACAGAAAAAGAATATTTCAATTTATTGAATTAAATAATTGGCTAGCCCATTTTTACAACAGCTTTTCAATTATTCAGCCTACAGATTTGAAGTTGTATCACTGGGATTACTTCAACCAAGTAAGGGTTTTTTTTGCACATTAGAGCATAATTATATAGCCAGTTAAATTATAATAGTTATATTTATAGACAAAGGTAGCATAGGTCTTCAGGTGATTTGGGTTGGAAGTGAATCCCTCCTTTGTGAAGTCGACAGGTGTGTTCGGGTATTACCTGGACTTGAGGCTTATATCTGCAGATAAAATTGGCAGTGTGCCATAGAGAACAATTGATTGGTAATCCATCAGTGATTACCGGCATTGTTGAATAAGGGACAGGTAGCTTTCTAGTTGGAAGCATGGTGTTAAGCATCTGCTGGCAGCTAATTGAATGATGAAATGGATGTAGTAGTGTTTCAGAGGAAATTTGCAGGTTCAATCAGTAGTCATTGTTGAAAATATAAGTTTTCATAACATACTTGTTATAAATTTCTGTTTATTATTGTACTAAATGTTATCATTTGTGGCATGTAGCCAAAACAACCTTCAGGATGCAGTGTGCGTTATTATCAGGAGTGATAGTTTAGCAATTTTCCACTTTGTGTAGCTCAGACTTTGGTAATCCAAACTATCACACATTTTCAGTGAATGTGCTCACTGGACACTTACTTCACATACCAAATTTCAAGGCAATACATTAAGAAATACATGAGATATAAAATCTACATTATTGATTCAAATTTAATAGAAAAACATACTTAACTTTTATGTATTTTTTTAAAAAATTTGGTACACTGATAGATCTTTACAATTTATAATTCGGTGTCAGATTTGATCTAAATATAAGCCATATGGACAAAGTTATTAAAAAACACCATTCAATTATGAGCAAAATGTTTGCGCAAGCTTACGCAAATATCACATGAGCTATTGGTTTAAAATTTTTACTACACTTTTACCTAAGAGTAAAAGTGGATGGTTTTTAGATTTTTGTCATTCAGATTAAAGACAGCTGATTTAGAGCAGCAAAACTATAGGGTGAATGAACGTGCAGATACATAAGTATTGGTTAGGCCAAACAAACTAGATTAGTAGTTTCTATCTCAAGTTGTCAAAAGAATCATATGGGTGGACTGTTATTATTCATTGCCAATTTTTAAGCACAGATTTGCTAAATTTTATAAAATTCTTCTAATTAAAGAGCATTTAGCATTACTTGATATTAGTTTAAGCAATTAGTGTAAATAATGATGCTTGAAGAGGCGGTCCGAGTGCATGTGGGTAATGACTAGAAACTGTTAATCTAGTTTCAATGGCGTTACTATAGAAGAAGTTTAAAGAGATACAACTACAACCTTATATTTTTAAAAAATCTGTTTGGGTCTGTAAAGTAAAGGTCTGTTCCAAATAATAGGGTTGCGATCAGAAAGCTAATGTTTGTTACTATAGACTGTCACTTTTTTACTTGCTGTGGTTTGTTGGTGTGTATTGACAAAAGTCATGATATCTAATCAAAAACACCTTAAGTGTGAAAAAAGGTGCATCAAAAAAAGGATTGAGTGAGTGACTTAAAAGAATGAAATCAAAATTGGCAGCCAAACTGGTAGCTACACTTATAACATTGTTAAGAATTTTACAGCAAATATTCATTCATTAGTTAGCTAGGCCATGTATTTTGTTTTACCCACCATCATGCCCCAAGTTGAACAAAAAATTTAAGCACGAGATTCCCTGGAAAATTACACTGCCTTAGAAGGTAGCAGAAAACTTGAACTAAATAGTTTAGACTGAAATTGAATGTTAATTATGTTTAATACCAGCTTTACTGATATACATTTGAATGTAACTGTAAAAGGCCATGACATACACAGTTTTACCTATTTGTAGTGAAATGGTTAACTCTTTCAATATGGACTCGGTCCCAGGGACCTCACGTGAACATGTTTTACTTGTATATAGTTTTAATCCCATAACTTTTAATGCATGATGTGTAGTTTCACAAAATTTGCAGACTTTTAGTAAACATTACTACTCATTTGTACACGAAAAAAATCAGTTTTTTTTAATGAAGCATTTTTACTAAAGATTTGTCTGTGAATATATTGAATCATTTTTGTCCAGTTCAAGTACAAAGTGCTTTCATGTTAAGATTAAAAATACTTTTCTTCATTGCAAATGTTATTTGCATAATCTCTAAAACGTCCTAAATACATTTCAGATATTTATTTCAGTAAAATTTTATATTTTATCTGTTTTCTCTACCCTAACTCTATACAAGATTGTAACCACCAAAAAAAATTGAAATAAACCCAAATTACCCTTTTTTTCTTTATAGAATGGCTTCGAATTGTAACATGAAACTACATTTGTTTATCCTTTAATCTAAAATTTTTTTATTCTTAAAGTGCCTGTCCATGAAAAATTTTTGTTTGTATGCTAACCTAATATCTATCTCTTTTCACTTTTTGTCCATTGGGAATTTTACAATCTTGCTTGAATTCTTTGTTGGTATTTAGGTCTATTGCATGTACCAGGAACAATCAGATACGTTTAGGACTTCTTCCTCCTTCCTTTACGGCTGTTAATATTGTAGTATGGTAAAATACTATATTTATTACTACATGAAGGTTATGGCATGAGTACAACATCTGACCCCTTCCAAGGCCATATCTATGTATGTAATGCATTAATATACTAAGTTTTACCCTGTAAAGTGACAAGTTTACCTGCTAGCAGTAAATGACTTGTTCTTATACTTATAATATTAATAGTCAAATGAAAAACATCAAACATCATGGACAGGCATTTTTAAAAATAGAGTTTTGAGGAATCTATCCATTCAAATGAACAGTTGACAACCCCGAGTCTGTCCGCAAGTGCATTCAACATTGTAATAGTTTCTGGTTTTTCCATCAATTTAAAAATGCGATCATACGAAAAAAAGTGCATGACAAACGCAAATGATTTTCCTGACACCTTTGGGAAATAGGGATTATAGCTCACAGTACCTCTTTAGAGTCAATTTAAATCTCCTTTAGGTGTAGGATTTCCTAGCAAGGGGAAAATGACGTAATGAAATTTGTATAATGAGTTGTTTTTAAATTTTAATAATGATTATTTTCTCAGATTTTAGAAAATGTAAAAAGAATGAAAAATATGTTGCATATTGAGGGCACTTCACATTGAAAAGGGTGAGGTTCGAACCCCCAGAACCCCACTCCTGCATCCACTACCAACAGACACATGTTCAAAGATGTGATGTAGCTCTCGCATGCTAGACGGATTTCATTATTTTTGTGTCATGTGCAGTTATAGTTGCTCAATAATATTTTATCTAAGTGATCATCTGAAATTGTGTATATGTCTCAGTAACGTTTTTCTATGTAATAAATCTAGGCCTATTCCAAATGACTAGGGCCACATGTGTTTCAGATTTTTATTAAAAACACTAAACCCATTGTTGATGCGGGAATATGTATATTTTCCAATGCATGTCATTATATTTTATTTTAGTGTGGTAGGCCTATTTTTTCAATGGGCCTGGAGCTGCAGCTCCACCAGCCCCTGCCTTAATCTGGCCCTGCATGTCCTGCACCTTTGGAGGATGCTCATCCTTCTACTCCTTTTCTCAAATTAATTATACAGATTTGTCACATTTTGCATGTTTCTCCTGTTTCCTATGATGCCTCTTATTCCCTTGCTAATCATTTATCACAACCTTTTTTATTCCACAGCTCCTGTCATATTCCTATTTTCCATCTTCTTGCTTCCAGGCATTTTTTTTGCCTGCATCTTAACATTCTCATCCTCATCTTTCCCATGCGTGTCAAAAATGTTGACCCCAGGATAGGTCACTACACAATGGGGGCCAGGCTCCACCATTTTGTTGACCTTTGGGAGACCTTCACTACTGATACTTGGGTTCTGTGTATTTTGTCACAGCATCTCTCTCTTCAATACTGGTTGCCACCTCCTCATCCTTTTGTTGGGTAGACAACCCTTTGCCCAACATCTTCATTTGTTGGAATTCCAGTCCTAACATTATATAGATGATTGGCTTCTTTTGGCTCCTTTCTATTTGGCATCTTCTAACCACACCCAGTTGCTCCTAGAGGAGGCAGCTCATAATGATGGTTAATTGAAGTGGGGAAGTCCATCCTTTCCCCTACACAGTACCTAGTTTACTTGGGAGTTTTTTCAATTCCCGGACTCAGTCAGGCTCAGCCTTCTCCACTACATCTTTGGGATATGGAGAAGCTGGTCACCAAGGCTTTATCTTCTCATTCTTTTCCAGCTCGAGAAGTTCTATCTCTTTCTCATGTGAATTACACGATCAATGGAACTTCTGATCAGATCCCTTGAATCAACTGGTTGTCTTTCTTTCTTCCCTTCGGACTGCCCTTGCTTGGTGGTTGGACAGAGAAAATACTATGGCTGGTATTCCACATCCTCCTCATAATGCCGGGTGCATGATGTTTACTCCCTGCTCTTATGGTTGAGTTAGAATCTTTATTTTCCTGCTTGTAATACAGGGTACAGGATAATTACTTGTTCTTATGGTTGAGTTGAGGCTTACATACAGCCCCATAAGTCCAGGTTCAGAATGTTATACTTCTTGACTCCTGTGGTTGATTTGTAAGTTTTTTCAGCAGATGCCATTTGCTTATTTCTTTATTGTCATTCTGGTTGTTTGCAGTACAGCACTTTGTTTACTTACAGGTGGTGTTACCTTAAATTGTATATCCCGATGTTGATCTTGCATTAGGTTCTCCACCTCTTAATACTGAAGACAAGATGTGGAACTTTGTTTGTGCGGATGGGGTTAAGTCAGTACCTAGCAATTTCTAGATAAATACCTCCATCTTCATAATTCCATTGTCTTTCCGGTTTGTCCGTGTGGGTTTGGAGTTACCTATCACTGTCCATTTGTTTTCCCTTATACTACTTGTGGCTCTTATACTACTGGAGTTTGATTGTTTCTGACCATGTTTGTATGGTTAAGTATGGAATGGAACTCATGTTGATTATTTACACATGATACATTGTTTTTCAAGATCATTCTTTTACTAAGTCCAGGCCTTGATGCTGCCAATTTCATGACACTACACTTCCTCGAGGGTGAAGAGGATACCTGTTCCAGAAGTGATGCGGTCCTCCACATGTGTGCTTCCAATCCATTACAGTGTACAACTGATCAATTCTCTATGGACACTTTACATAGGGGGTCTCTTGTTTTATCTTACACCGGTCCCTTCAGCAACTCAATGTGGGATTCTAATTATAGTTTGCAGAGAGGTATATATTGTATTAGAAGTTATCATTTTCTTACACTAAAAATAGAATTCTGATAGAATACTTACCTTCTTTCACACACACTTCTCACTCTTCCTCCCCACTTCTGGAGTGATTTTGTTTTTAGTGAGCCTAATCTTGAAAGGAGGTAAGTATCTATCAGAAATCTATTTATAGTGTGTGAAAATGATAACTTTAAGAAAAAATCATTCCAAATATATGTAAAGATGCAATAGTACAATATTCATTTAATAAAATATAATGAAGCAAATATTGTGAAAAGTTCTGATGATGCTGAATTGTCAAGATTCTTTGCAATTGTATACAATACACAACATGACATATAATTTTAGGGAGGTAAACACATTAATGTCAGCAAAAGATTAGTTATTGTTCTATGTAGCTGCATATTACTATTTATATTTTCAAGATTTGTAACATTGACTGATGCACTTCTGCAGTAAATATGGAACCACATAGTTCTGCTTTAGTGTTATGAAATGTGGTAGATTTATTGATAATCTCTGGTACTCCTAGTCATTGAACTACTAGCTGAAACATCACAAATGGTTTACAACCAAGTTAAAGTTGACAAGATGTAACTTTGTTATTTGAAAATATCAAACTTTTTTGGTTCAGAAAAATTGAACTAACTTAGTCACAACACACTCATCATTTGTCTGAACAAAAGGTTTGTGTTAACATGAAATATGGAACTATTTTAGTATTATTTGAGCAAGTATAATCTGTTCTGATTTTTGATCTGATCTTAATAGTTACAACTGAGTTAATTGGGATAAATTTTCTTTTTTGCAAGATGTTGTAAAGCGGTGTAATATCATTTATTAATGTCTACAAAATAGGCATATTTTTCCTTTCATTAACATTTAGATTTTAGTATCTAAACTCATTTAAATGTCTTCCTTGATGCTTAACAAAACTTTAAACATACTTGTTAAAACAATGCCATAATATACTGGGATCATTGTGAGACCTTGTCTCTAGAAAACCTTTTATGTAATAATTTGTTTTTATCAAATGTAATACCAACATGATTCCTTAAAGAATGGTCTGGTACTATGAGCTTCCTTATGTAATTGGAATAATATAAAAAAAATGGTAAATTTTGTAAGAAATTACCCTAACTATCCTTACCTATAATAATGCACATGTAACATTTATATGGATTTTCATTGCAAATTCTTTTAGTTTCGAGTGTGTGAATCTATAATAACTGTAAGCCAATTTCATTACTGTGTGCTGTGACAGAAAGTTCGTAGTTGGAAGACCTAACAGTCCTAATTTTTTCTTAACATGATCTATTAGTTAGTTAAGGTTAATTTTTTCCATTATTTTGAAAAATATTGTGTTTTTGTATTATTTTTTCATTTAGGTATGTAAAATGTCTAAAGAAAATTCTTCCTTTCATATTTACACTTATTTTTTATACTAATGTTGGGGTATGCCAAATGTTGCACAAGATCAATTAGCGTAATGCTTTTGTCCTTGCATTTACTAACCATAACTTTAATTCCATACAGAAAATTATTTAAAAAAATTTTGTAACAGATACTGTGTATGCATTTGAAGTAACACAAATTAAGTCAAACAAAAAGTGCCTATCTGTATAAATAAAATAAAATATTTTCCAATTTTTTATGTATAAATTTTGTACAAATTTATTTTTGATCTTGAGAGGCCACATTAGTGCAATCTTGTTCCTGTTGTTGAGCTTCATCATTTTGAATGTTATATCTTAACTTGTTAAAAAGCTCTAACTATCTACCACTTAAAGAAATAAAGGAAACATATATTTATATTGAAAATGTTAATTAGCAGCATGCAGAGTAAAATATTTCTTCAGCTGATCCACATTTTACAAAGAATTAAAATGATATTCAAATCATTACAAAAGAAATTCAGTTTCCTTCTCTTTACATTGGACATTAATTTAAAAAAAACAATGGAATTCAATGTTTATTTTTTACTTTAAAGGCACCATCACTTGTCAGCCTGACCAGTTCCAGTGCAAAAATTATCAGTGTATTCCCGGACATCTTCGATGTAATGGGAAAAAGGAATGTTTTGATGAATCTGATGAGGAAAACTGTCCAGGTTAGTTGTAAATCAAGTTTCAGGTTTTGAGTGTAGCACTTTTTTTTAACTTAATGAAGAAACGTTCAACAGATTATTAACTACTGATGGCAAGACATAAAAGCATTTATATATAAGAAATATATAATGGACATGAAAGATTGCAGAATCTACTTCATTTTTTGCAAAAGAATCTCATCAGACAGAAAACCTTACTTTAACTACTTTCAGTGCATGAGTATTTGAATGTATATTTATAGATGGGTAAGCTGGGCATTTTTATAAATCTTGGCACATTCCACTGAAACTTGTTTGGAGGTTTAGAGCAATACCTAATAATTTAACACAGTAGTTCTATAATCAGAAAGTATTTGTGAAATATGTACACGTGTTCTTTCTCTTTTAAACCATATTCATTCACATATGCCTAGAAAATAATATTAACATAAGTCTAATTTAACTAAAATTATGTGAAAATAATCTTAACCCATTGACTGCTGTTTCACCATATATGGTACGTATAGTTCACCTCCAGCAGTTGAATGTGAGTGTTCTGTATACAGTGTATGGCTCACAAAAATTCCACACACATTTAAAGGGTTAATTATAACATTGATAATAAGTAGAAATACAATCTACCATTATTAAATTAGGACAAACTTTAAGCTTTCAACTATACTTTCAACTTGAAATTAGACACTATTTATTAAGCATTACTTTTAGGCATACTAACAAGGCTAGATTATGAGGAGACAAGAGGGTGCAATTGCCCTGGGCCTCTTTGATTGAAGGAGCCCCTTGACTAAAAGATAAAGATCAAAAACTAGGTATCTTATTGAAAACATATGTTTAAAACTGTGTTGCAATGAGATCAGTTTTGTAATGTTTCATTAACATATTCTTTCAGATTTTTTTTCCATAAATATTTTGCTCAGCCATTTAACCAAAAAATGTATTTTTTTATTATAAATAGTATAATTATTATTTTGTATATTCTCTAACCAGTGCCTGTGTTTGAGTATTGCTTAAATTGTAGTTAATAAATAGTATTCACTTGTATTTGGTTATTAATATTAATGAAGTTCAGTTCTGAAAGCCCTCTACAAAATTTGACCCAGGCCTCCCAAGTTCTTAATTGGGCCCTGCCTATAAATGACCAATTCTGACTGTAGATGTTCTTGTGTTTATGTTAGCAAAACTGGGATAGATTTAGTTGGTGCTATTGTAATAGAAAATTAATATCAAGGAGTAAAAAAGTCAAACTTCAAAACTGTATGTAAGTTTAACAGATCACCTGTCCCCACTCCCTCCTTATGACATTACAGGAGTTGTCTGGATGTAAAATTTTGCTTTAGGTAATAATGTAGGTAATGGGGTTTTAGCTTCATATTACAGCCTTGAAATGTACTTAGTCTTTTATAAAAGATATTTAATGAAGTATTTTGAATGGGGAAAATGTATGTACAAATACTGTATTTAATGTGCTTAGAAAATTATTTTCTTTAAAAAAGTATTGTAAATAGTAATTAGTAATAACATAGGTAACTTATTTGTTTCATCCTATAGAAACTCAAAAGATGTGTGACCCAGAGATTGAATTTGATTGTGGCCAGAATCGCTGTATTCCCATATATTTGATCTGTAATAAAAAAAATGATTGTGGAAACTGGGAAGATGAACCTATTCACTTGTGCAGTAAGCATGTGCAATAAATCATGGAAATATATCATTAGTATTTAATAGAATAGTGAAACTGAAATAAAAATATTTGTTTAATTACAGGTTTTCCTATTTTTGTCTGATATTACCTGAGCAATGTATAAAGTTAAAACTGTTTTTGTATGTTGAACATGCTTGCATAACAGCTGAAAATTATATTATTCTCTAGCTGATATAGATATATAAAAATAGCTTACATAAATGCTTAGCAAGTTAATTTAATAATCGTTTGTGATATTGTTTAATATACTATCTATTTGTCTTGGAGGGATTTTAGGCCTACAAACTGGTGAATGACATTGTAAGAAATTGGAATCTAAAAAAATTTGTTCTAATCACAACATTAATCCAGAACTCTTTGTTAAAATTAATGTTTTGAAAGTGACTTTATTTGCAATGTTTATTTACCCTTGCACTTCTATAAGTCTAATAAAAATAAAATTTGCAGATCAATCTGGACTTCTAATAAACAAAACTTCCTTTTATTATTTATATCATTATTATTATTATTAAGTTGAGCTAATTCTTAAAAGTACCGAGTATTTTTAATTAACTTGAGTGTTTAAGAATTAAGGATAAATACTAGTGTTATTTTACTGAAATGTTCATTTGAAGTGTTTTGTGTTATTTTGAACTACAAATAATTTTCCTATTTACCTTTAGATAAGAATGAATGTGAAGAGAATAATGGAGGATGTTCTCAGAACTGTGTTAACATGGTTGCTGGTTTTCAGTGTTCCTGTTTTGAAGGCTATGAACTTGTAGACAATAAAACATGCAAAGGTAAATTCATATTAGTAGAAATCGTGTAATAATATTAATAAAGAATTTTTTAAAATCACATATATTAAACTTCTGGAATACCTGACATTTGATTTTCTCCATTTCAATTAGATATCAATGAATGTGAGATCTTGGGTTTCTGTTCACAAGGATGTGTCAATACCAAAGGCAGTTATAAATGTGATTGTATGAAAGGTTATTCATTGGAACCAAATAATCATCACCGCTGTCGAGCCTCAGGTGAGTAAAACAGCAAACACTTAACTCAAGCATATAATCAAGCAACTTTTGTTGTTACTTGAATCCTATTGATATTTTTTTGAAACTTATAGGCCTAAAAATATTTCTGAATACCTTTTGTAATTTTGAAAATAAGTTAATTTTTTTTATTTTAACTATAAGTCTTTCAGTTACTTTCAAAGGATAAATATAATTTATCCCCTAGTAGTTCAGTGGTAAGTCTGTAGATTTGTAACACTAAAAACCGGGTTTCAGTACCCGTGGTGGAAACATAGCCCAGTGAGTAGTTTTGTGCTTAACAAAAAACAACCTAAATTTGATTTATATTATTTTTCATATGTATTTTCTATGTCTTATCTTTACTTCCAAGCAAAAAATTCATCTGAGAAGTTTCTCCTCAAAATCAAATGCAGAAAGCTTAACTAGCCAAAATGAACCAAATGAATTTATTTCCTTGGAATGTTCACATCATTTGATTTTGCTGCATATAATATTTATTTTTACATATATAACCAACTGTTAAAGTTTTAATCACATTTGCTAAGTTTGTTTGTTTGAAGTTAAGCACAAAGCTGCATAATGGGCTATCTGTGCTCTGCCCACCATGGGTATCAAAACCTGGTTTCTAGCATTGTAAGTCCGCAGACATACCGATGTGCCACTGGGGGGCTATTTGCAAAGAGTTGATATATTCTACATATACCTGACTTCAGATGTTGTTTTAAAAAATAAAATATATATTTGCAGTAGCAATAGCATTTTATTTTGTCAATGTTTGCTTCCAGTATTTAATATAATAAAGTAAATTATTTCAGTAACTTTATAGAACAAAATGTAACTATGTTAAAATCACCCAGTCTGAGAGTTCTATGAATCCAAGTTAAGACCATTTTCATTTATGTTGCCTACTGCTGTGTTATTCATTAAAACTGCTATTATCACAGTGGTTAGTGTGCCACACTTCGGGGGCGTGGATGTGTAATCAATTACCGAACCTAATGATTAATCAGTTATCAAATTCCACTAACAGATCAGCTCTATTATTAATCCTACATTGCCTGAAGAGGACCTGCTCCTATGGGCTGAAACATCGCAATTTTAATTGTAAAGAATTTTTGTACAACTTTTGACTTATTTTGAATATATTATTTTAAAACAAGTGGATTGTGTGCTGTCCATTTATTGTTCAAATTTCTCACCAACATGTTACTGTTGTCTACTGTAAAGAATCCAGCATACATACAATACTGTGCAAAAGTGTTAGGACAAGAGAATATTTTGTCTTCTTTCCATTTTAATGGAGCTAAGTTTTCCATGCCATTACAGAATGTAAATTTCAACACTATGGTAATG